GAAATTCGAACATGCAACTAAATTAGTTCTCATGTATGCATACAAACTCTACCAGGCAATATTATACGTAGCCCTATTATAAAGGTCTGGAACAAAAGCCCCCGAGCTATACATAATGAATTAAATGTGCACTAATTTAATATGTGCAGATCCTTAATCTAAGTGATGAAAAATAATTTCTAAAAACGATAAGATAAAGCTAGCAAAACCAATCAAATTTATATAATGCAAGAAATACCTAAACCCATTCTAAATTTTTCTTTATTTTTTTTTATTTTTACATCGATGTTACCATGGATGCGGACCGGATTTCTTCACGGATCTATCTTGTTTTCGATGTTCATGTTGAGGCCTTTGTACTTGCACCTCTATTCATACGATCGCTTTCTTGCTCTATACTTGACTGAATTTTGCATGAACATATAGCCCCATCTATGTTATTTTTTGGAAAAATGACACAAACAGTCCATGAACTTTAGTTCAATATGTAATGTGGTCCCCGAACTTTTATTCTTTTCAATATAGTATCTAAACTTTAGCTTAATGTTCAATGTCATCCTTAAACTTTTACTTTATTCAATGTAATCCATGGACTTTTAGTACATATTCAATATAGCCCAATTTTGTGCATTCATAGGATTGAAATAATTCTCGCCTTTTATACTTTATTTACAGCTGAATTCTCCTTGCCTTTTTAATTCTTGTTTTGGTCAAATTCACATTTCCTATCCTTTTTATTTTTTGGTCGAAACATTTCCTATCCTTTACTAGCTGAAATTTTCATTGTTCTTTCCTTGTCTTGAGTTACATATCTTCCTAGTTCAAAACACCACATGCATTGCGCACGCAATTCTCGGCCAAGCAAAAAGCTAGATGGGAGTAGCGAACTTAACAAAGAGGTCGGAATGATTATTAAAAAAGTTCTAAACATATTACACTCGCGTCAATTCATTCTTAAATCTTTTAATTTGACCAATTTAATTCTAAACCTATTGTACTTGTATTGAATTATCAAGAATGACCTTTTTTTTTTGTTGATCATCATCATCATCATCTCCGTTGTTGTTGTCGTCATTATTTCCAAATTCAACTATGTGATCAAACTATCTTTCATGTATACTCATGAATCAATTTTATCTAGGGGAATTGAATGCTCTATTAATAAAGTCGAAAAGGAATTGTATGCATCGGTTATGGGACCGACGTGATGTAACGTAATCAACCAATTACTTTACCAAAGTATTATACTTTCTAATTGATTTATAAGTGCGAATTTAACTCAATTTTTTAGTAACACGTTTCTCCTCACGTCAATGTCACATCGGTCACCATGTTCATGCGACTTCGGTTGTTCAAACTTGTCGGGCACTACTTTTTTGTTTGAACAAGAACTTTCGCTCCTGTTATATATGTGGCAAAAGTAATTGACTGTGATTATCACAAAATAAAGTAATTAACTCTGAAAAATATTCTTTATCTATCAATTTTTCCAGCTCGTGCTCGGCACATAAGTGTTCATATGGATCAAAATGAAGAGGTTTTAACACCTACTTTCTACTCGAAACTTTTCATATTTTTGGCTTTTTCATGTAATTAGAACCGACTCTCTAACTCTTAATTTTTATTTTATTTTCCTTCCTTGTTTCTAGTTTGTTTTAGACTTTATAAAAGTAATGAGTTGCTGCCAAAACTTAAGATATTATACGAATTTCAGAACATTTCGAAAAACTTATATTTGTACCAACGTGTCGACATTTAAAGTTTCAAAAGTTTCGGATTTAAAAGTCAATCCATACATAAACCCGAGTTTTCACGTGATATATATCTTTTTCATGCTATCAAATTAATAATATATTTTTTATTTGATGTATATAGAAATTCGTTACCGCACAAAATGATATGACAAGCCATATGAGACAACCACTCGGATCCCAACAGAAAATTAGCAAATTAAAAAAAATATCTATGTAAACACATTGTTGTTAATATGTGTATTATGATTCCAGAATTTATTTTAATAGTGGTAATTTTTAACCCAACGAAGGAAAGCATGGTCAATCCTGATGGTAACTAGCAAAGAATGGTCTATACCCAAAAAAAAAAAAGTGTAAAAACTGTGTCAATTTTGATTCAACTACTAAACACTTTGAGTTATATACATAATGATCGGTTCGAGTTGTATTAAAGCCTATATAATTTCATTCATTAGATAGATTGATACTCGTCTCTATTAGAAAATATGTGAATCATACGATACATCGAATTGTACCAATCATCCGTATCTCCAAGCATATGAAATGATATGTAGTGTGAAGGAATACAGCTATAGGATGAAAAATATGCTATGGCTACATTTGATACATAGACTGTCGATCAATGCTTTTTCCTCATGGTGTTTTGGGAGGCCTGGAAATTGACATTAAGGTTTTGATGAAGTTGTCCAAACAAAGTAAGACCTAGATTTTTCGCAACCCACGCTGATTTTTCTCCGGCACGCGACATTTTCCAAAATAGATGGTCAAATTCAGGGAAAAAGGAAAGTAAATGGAAGAGACAATGAATCTCAGAAACAACGTAATCTGCAAACAGCGGGTGAACAAAACGAGAGTGAAAGAAAACCAAGAAATCTACGTACAGAAACACGAGCAAGAGAAAGAGACAATACAGACGACTCAGACCTGTTGATCGATAGAGAAGGATGATGTGGAAAAGAGAATCGCATGAATTATGTACCTTTTGATACGCTATAACCATTTAAGGTAAGAAGATAATCATGGTTTTAATGAAAGTCAATCCATGAGAGATAGACCTGCAATCCTAATCATTTCTAACAGAATGGTTGAAGAGAGGGGGAGACCCCCTGAAACCCTAGAGCGCGTTAAATAGGGGCTATGGAGGCTTCTGGCTTTGGCTTGGAGTTGAGGACTTGAAGTTGGAAGTTGGCGAGAAAGAACAAAACTCACAGTTTCTATTTTCTTTCCTTCTTGGTTAGCAAGAAAATATTTATTCTCTCGCTTTGTCACTTATTCATTTATTTTCTTCCACAAATCTTTCTGTATTGTCCCAAAAATTATATATGTGAATCATGCCATACATCAAATCGCGCAAATCGTCTCCATCTCCTAGCATACGAAATCATATGATGTGCAAAGGCATACAGATATAGACCGTCAAGCTCTACCCTTCGTAAATGGTTAATGGTTGTTTCTGATTTTTAATTTGGAAGGGTTGTAGCATGATACTAGAAAAGTTCGGTCCAAGGATAGAGTATTGCTGATATAATTAACTGAATGATCGATTGCCGTGAAAGAGAACCTTTTTTGCTAATTGGGATTGCGTAAACTTGTAGAGTTTGGGCAAGCGTTGCTTCCATTGATGAAACAATTTACAATATATATAGGGTTTAGGGCTAAAATAATACAATGACAATTATGCCCTTTAGTATAAACCTAATCTACCAATACTCCTCCTCAAGTTGATGAATGTAAACATGTCAACAACTTGTTCTTAAAAGTACAAAATAAATCACGTGTGATCGGTTTCGTGAACAAGTCTGCAAGTTGGGAGTGACCGGGAATATGAAGAGTGTGCAAAGTGCCATCTTGAATTTTTTCACGAACCAAGAGACAGTCAATCTCGATGTGTTTGGTGCGTTCGTGGAAGACGGGATTAGTGGCCATGTGGATGGCTGCTTTATTATCACAAAAAAGATCTGATAGTGTTGACGTGGAGATCTGAGAGAAGCATGCAAAGTCATGTGATTTCACAAGTGGCAGACGCCATAGCACAGTATTCAGCTTCTGATGAGGAACGGGGCAACAGTAGTTTGTTTCTTGGAACGCCATGAGATGCGACAAGAACCAAGAAACATGCAGTAGCTAGAAACAGATTGTCGGGATGTAGAACAAGATGCCCAATCAAAATCTGCGTAACCATTAAGTTGGAGAGTAGAATCGGATGGGAAAAACAAATCAGTGCCGGGATCATGCTTGAGATACCGCACAATGCGAAGTGCGGCATTCCAATGGTCTTCATTAGGAGAGTGCATAAATTGACTAAGATGTTACACTGCAAAGAGTAAATCTGGACGAGTTATTGTAAGATGTAATAATCTACCAATAAGTCGTCGATATGAACCTAGATCCTTGAGAGTTGGGGAGGAATCCGAAAATTGTATATTGGGTTCCATCGGAGTATCAACAGGACATCTTCCAAGAAGACCAACGTCAGACAAAATATCAAGAGTGTATTTCCTTTGTAACAAAAAAATCCTAGACTTGGAATGAGAAACTTCAATGCCTAAGAAGTATTTGAGAGTACCCAAGTCCTTAATGCGAAATTGTGTGTCGAGGAATCGGTTGAGAAGTTGAATCATAACTTCATCATCATCCGTGATAACCAATCGTCAAGAGAGAGCCACGGATCAATGTAAAAAGTGAGTAGTTCGCCTTGGACTGTTGAAAATCAACATCAAGCAGTGCATAAGAGAATTTAGCAAACCATTGCCTCGATGCTTATTTAAGGCCAGATATTGCTTAAAGGACGTGAGAGAATCACCACTCTGATACCATATAGAGTTTGGGCAAACGTTGCTTTCTTTGACAAAATAATTTATAATATATATATACATAGGGTTTAGGGCTAAAACAATACAATGACAATTATGCCCTTTAGTATAAACCTAATCTACCAATAAAACTTAATTAACTTAATAAACTATAACAGATAAATCCACTTTGAATATGATTTGACGCCAAAGCAAATAGTGAGACACACCGTGCCTTCCTAGAAAGATAGACATTCGAACCAGTGCACATCGTGACAATTGCCTTGCGCTTTACATTACACTACCACAGTTTAACAGAAGTAAGTGATTAGCTTTGCATGTTCCCAAAATGGATCACTTCCTTGCATCCACAACCTGCCAGCTTTTTACACACAAAATTTACCCCACAAAGACCAACAGAGATAGAAAGAGAGAGAGGTCTCAAGAACACCTCTCAATGGGTCATCAACAATCCCAACAGCAGACACATCCACAAGATACTCAACCCACCAAGCAAAGCCGCATCCCCACCAGCGAAACTCCCTTCCGGCGTGCTCGTCGTCAGCACCACCACCATCCAGTCGTCCTTGGACCCGACGCCGGCTCCCGTAAACCTCGAGTCGTTCAGGTACTTCTGGTACGTAGTGTGGGTGTAGTTGGTGAGGACGAGTGTCGGGACCAGCTTTGGCACGCACGCCGGGGGTATGACGCCGTCCGCCGTGTGGTTGGGGTGGATCTTGCACTTGGACAGGACGTCCTGGTAGCTCGAGGACTGCAGGCCGATGCCTGGGAGGGTGTTGGGGCCGTACGTGGCGGTGCAGGGCTGGTCCTCGATCTTCTTGGCGATTACATCCACAAGACACGAGGCCTTGTCGTTCTTGGCGAGGTCTTGGAGGCTCTGGGACTTTTTGTAGCTGTTGATGCCTTGAAGAAGGTTGTCTTCGTCGTCTGCAAGAAGATCAAACAGTGAAGAGTGGAACCTCTCAGATTACTCATTCATCATGCAACAGCAAAAAGGAAAAGGAAACTACTCCATGCGTATAAACTAAGAAACCTAGCAAATATAATCATATCAAAGAGGACACACCATTACAGACCACCGGGTGAGACAACAAGAAGATGGCATGAGCGAGAACAAACCCAGAGAGCAGAAATTTGACCAAACACGTGGTGATTAATGAGCAAGATCGCTGTAAGTTTGCAATGAACAATGAGATTTCGTATAAAAGTTGGATATGAGGGGCTTTGGATTTGGCTTTTGGTCCTTGCTCTTTGAAGGTTATCTACTAATCTTTTGAAAACCCTTGGAGTTTCCAGGTGCCACTTCGTTCCCTCCGCTTCGCAATCAAGGCGAAGTGGCGAATTGACAGATGAGCTAACATGTCGCAGCCATGCAAAAACATAGGAACAGAGACGCGCTGCCTCTAGTGTTACGGCTCGATTTCGTCAAAGTTCATATTTCAATATTAGATTTTGGTACCGCTTCCTCACAGTAGATACAGAGTTGAAAGTGATTGCTGAAACTCTTTTAGGGGGTGGAAACCTTCTCCAAGCTGCTACAACTTACAGCTGCTTTTCAAGAATTTGCTTCACCCATCTTTATACGCTACAGTTTTATTCATTGCCGGACACATGGATTATAACATATCATATAAAACAGTTGCAACACATCACAATTACAGCACAATTGCAAGTATACTAAACAGAAGAAGGCAATAAATAAAAATTCCTTAGAGTTGGCACAATTGATTAGGGCATCAGTGAATTTCTAACACAAAAATCATATGTCACCCGTTCAAATCTTACTAATTGCATACAAACTGCTCTAGATTAGCATATAGACCGAAAGTCTTGATTTACATGGTTCGTGAGATTTGCAAGATATTTTAAATATCTTTAAACGGTCAGATCACCATACCGGTAACATTACGCGATGAAAGACAATTTTTTGGTGGCAACAAAATTGCTTCACCCTTTATGGGCTATACAGTATAGACCCAAGAAGTACATTTTGAGTATGGCATCAATTCTTTCGGCAAAGATTAGTCCATTGATCTCTTATTTCCTCTTTGTGGCATATGAAATCGAGTGCCTATTGCTAATCCCACCAGAGATTAAAAAAAAGAGTAACATATACATCATGTTAACCATTAGTATTTGAACTTTCGAATCGATTATTTCTTACTTGGCAAGAATAACATATTGATCTATGCCTAGCGACAGCACCCATCACGCACCATAATCTCCTATCCGCAGTTACTTTTCGAACACGATGTCACTGTCATATTAAGTCGATCATTACGAATGATGCGGTGATCATGCGGCGACGTGCGCGCACAGAGTGCGCTTACTTCTCCTTCGTCTCTCCATCGCCATCGTCATCTTCTCCGCTGCATCCTCGTCATGATCCGGGGATATCTCTTGCTCTTTGGCTTTGGCTCCGAAGGCAGCGGTACGTCTCAACGTTTACTCGATTTGCATGTTCCATGCACGCGAAGCCAAGTGGGCAGAACCCTTCGCTGGAGCCGGCCACGTGGGATCCAGGCATTTCACCATCGGCTAATGCTGGAGGAGCACGTCGCGGCTACCATTTAAGCGCTGTACACGCCCGCTTTCTGAGTTGGGACGTTCACCTGTGAAATAGTGTTCAGTAGACAGAGAGAGAGAGAGAGAGATGGCGTCGAACGGAGAAGAGATGTTTCCGCCGCAGAGGCAGGAGGGGCAGCCAGGGAAAGAATATGAGATGACGCCCACTCCCTAGTTCACAAGCCCCGACTTCAAGCCCTCCGGCATGCTCCAGGTCTTTTATTTCAACTTCATTTTAGGCGCGCTCTCTTTTAAGATGCGTTTATTTCGTGGAAAATAAATGATTTTTTTTGCAAGAGTTGATCTTCTGGGCATGCCCTTCGATTCAGCACTAGGTTATAAGAAGCCAATCTGGAAGAATCATGCAGGTTCACATCACCTTGCGCGCGACTCGCCGCACGCCCTCATCGCGCGATGTTGAACCGTGTACTAGCACGTGGAAACGATGAGGTTCGTGATGGTCGCACGCAAGGTGTCTTCTAATTTGGTTTCTCGACAATTTAGTTTCTAATGAAAGGCATGCTGAGACGGATTGAATCATGCTAATGCTATAATCAGGTAAATATTTGTTGCCTAAAAGTAGCCAATAGTTGATGCATGATGCTTAATTCAAACAAGTCTCGACAGGAAGTTAATAGGATATTTCTCTTGCATGCATTCACAACATGCAACTTGTTTTGAAATTTGTGAAAGGGGAAAATCGCCCTTGTTTCCGGAGGAGACTCTGGTATCGGAAGAGCGGTCTGCCATTGCTACGTGCAAGAGGGTGCGACGGTTGCCCTCACCTTCGTGAAGGGTCGAGAGGACAAGGATGCGACCGACCTGCTCCACATGTTGATGCGGGCAAAGATGTCTAACGCGAAGGATCCAATAGCAATAGCCGTGCCCGATCTAGGGTACGATGAGACTTGCAAGAAAGTGGTTGATGAAATGGTCAACTCGTTCGGCCGGATTGATATACTTGTGAACAATGCCGCGGAGCAGTACGAGTGCAGCACCATTGAAGAGATTGATGAGGCAAGGCCTGAGAGAGTCTTCAGGACTAATATATTTGCTCCGTTCTTCATGACCAGGTATAGTTTTACAACACTGGTATATAAATGCGGCCCCGGTGCGACTCCGTTGACTCGTATGCCCTTGCTCACTAGCTAGAGCGCAAGTCCTCTGGTGAAGGCTACGATCGCTCCTTTTGTTGCCATGTAGTCAAGCAGCTTGGAATTTCCTTTGTAAGCGACTACCGATGTCGTGTTGATGATGGCGCTACCTTCCTTCATGTGCCTCAGAGCATGTCTACGATCCAAAACTCAAACTCAGTATAAAATTGGCATCAATACCTTCCCTAATTATAAACAGAATATGCATGGATTGAAAGGGCAAGATGAAAAGCTGCTTCAGCGAAGAAGAGGTCAAGAAGTTTGGGTCGGAGGTGCCGATGAAGCGGGCTGGGCAGCCCATCGAGGTTGCACCGTGCTACGTGTTTCTTGCGTGCAACCATTGCTCCTCCTACATTACTGGCCAGGTCCTTCATCCCAACGGTGGGTACACTCGGTATACTTCATGCTTTATATACTTAATGTCGACGCTACTGAGACCATGCTTGGTTCTGCAATTTCTTTGCAGGTGGTGCAATAGTGAATGGTTAATACGATGGGAGTTTCAAAGGGTGGTGTGACTTGTGGTGTTGAGCATCTTAGATGTGTGAATGTGAAGTCCTAAAGCGAGTATAGTCGGTATACTTCCAGTTGATGTTATGATATGAAGAAAGCTTAAATGTATGGGTTTCGTGTAAAATAACATATGAACCTTGAGTGTGTGTTACGTTGCTACTTTAAGTGGTCAATACTAAAGAATGCAGCACAATTTTATCACGTGTGCTTAGTGTTAGACTTGTGTATGTCATGTAATCTTCAGATTTAAGACTGATCAGGTCGTGATACAATGGGCAATGCTAAAGGATGCAACACATTGTTGTGCTCGGTTCACTTGTGGATCACCATCAGAAAGAAGATGGACAGGACCCACAGTGTAGAATCCAACCCATCAGGAATAACCAACTGATGGGCTGAGTTTATGTGGGAAAGTATGTACTAAAATGAACCGAAAAAATGCAAGAGTGCAGTATCTGTGTCACGATGTGGAAAAGCTATCTCTAGACATTCGACTAAACATGAAAATGTCTCCTGCCAGTCTAAAGTCGGGCCAAGAACAGAGTAGAAACAGAGTGCTGCATAAGAAAACAACAGAGTAGACAAATAGAGCAACAGAATGTTGCAAAAGTAGTTCGCCGGATCTCATTGGTCCGAATCAAGAGCAATTTATTACTCGAGTTATTAAATCTGAGCGCTTGATTTGCAGTAACATAGTAATCCGACATCAATGAGAGACCGAGATTAAAGAGTTAAGTTAAAATCGAAACACAAAAGGCAAGAGAGCATAATATACAAGTACAACAACAGACCCAGAAGAAGGGAGGCGAAGGCAAATCTTTCTATGGTTCGTCGCCAGTTCCTGCATCTTTAGCCACTGCGAGATGGGGATCACGAAGAACCGCTGAAAGAGACTTGGACACCTTTCCCACCGATTCCAGCGATCAAGCATTGGAACCCGCAAGTTTCCAATTCAGGAATCACTTTGTCAACAACTGTTCCTGATAGCACTGATCCGCAGGGTCAAGGAAACAGATCACAAAAAGAACATAAGTACATGAGATGGAACACGGTTATCTATCTTCAAGATTCTGTAAAAAGATATTTCAAGAATCAGGATTGCCATACAACTCGAGAAAGCACACAACAATGCAGTTGTTCTCTTGTGCAAAGTCGGACAGATTTCTTAAATGCTAAGCCATATTTACCGACCATCAAAGTCATTCGATGTTCCTGTCCTAGGATGGAACTTCAATTGCCTTTGCATGGAAAGCATCCTAAGCCTTCATGAGTAGCTGTTGCCTCTTACTTCTTTCTTGACGCTCATGCAATTATATGCACTCTGATGGGTATGCAACTTATGCAAGTATTTGAGCTAAACAAGTATCGACATCCCACACAAGCTCACGTAATGACTTCTCTCAATATTCTTTTCATGCTTCTAAAGAGACTCGATGCTTTAATTAAAAGAAGACAACATGCGTGACACGAGTGGAAACTACAGATGACATTATCAAGAGAAAAAGAACTAAGCGAAAGGATACGGGTTGGCAGCAACGTCAGAACACAACCTCCGCCCCCAGCTCCAGTTAGTTTGGAGGTTAATTTAAACTTTAATGTCGTGCGCAAGACTGTCTCTATGGAGGCATGGCTGACCCCCATGCACTGAAGCAAACCTTGATTCATTTCCATCAACTCCCTTATTTTCTCTTCCTTCTCTGTCACCGAAATGTCGTCGGGAGCGGGTGCTTGGATTATAGTCGACAATTCTTTGCTGATAGAATCAACAGCGTTGAACACAGAAGTCATGGCATCTGGATGTCTCAAGGTCCTCTCAGAAACACCTGCGACTAAAGCTTTCGTGTTCCTCCCCACTTTTGTGTTGGTAATGAGCATTCTAAGGGGCACAGCGGACTTGATGCGTGTCAAACTTCCTGACTTAAACTTGATCATGTTACCTGCAGAATAAAGTTTGCAGTCGATACAAAAACAACTTAGAAAACTCCATCTAGAAAGTGAGAGAGAATCCGTTCTCCTGATTCACAGCCAGAAGAGATCAGCCAAAAGTTCTCGATTCTATATCTTCTCACCGCTCAAGTTGAGAAGGCTGAAGTGGTTCTTATCTACATAGTCTTACAACCACCACTTGGAGTTTATAGACCAGGAAACAATTTCTGACACAATCTACATCATTAAGAGTTTTCCTTCCATTTACTTTTCGCCAGAATACCGAATAGATTAAAGGCTCCTAAACCACGTTACAGATAATCTTTCCATTGAATGCCAGCATGCACACCAGTTAATCTAACCATTGCAAAGACAGGTGAGGATCATAATTAGTTTGGAAAGCCAGCACAAAATCCAATATTCTACATATAAAGGTAACCATTTACTTGCACAAGATACCTACCATATGTGCTCACAGTGTTGTCAATTCCCGACGGCTTTCCATGAATAATCTTTTCGCCTTCAAAAGCCCATTTATTCAACAATTCGAGTTCATTGTCCCCAAAATCGAGCCATCCTTTATGGCCTTTGTCCAAGCTCACAGATTTGGAGAAAGCAAGAAAAGCAGCTGAGAGTGCCACACAAATTGCAGCTGATGATCCCAACCCTGAACCGAGAGGAAGCTCCGAAGTGACAGTCACGGTGGCAGGCTTAAACCTGATGTGCATAGATGAAAATATTAGAACAATGCAATGCACAAAATGTATTACTGAACCTGATTAAAAGAGATGTACCCTTGGATACAGGTGTAGAGCCAGAGGAAAGCTGAAACTCCAGATGCAAGTGCAATTTTTTCCTCTGGAATGTTTTGTTCTTCAACTAGAGCAGAAATTGATTCTGCAAATTTTCCGGAGCATGTCTTGGGGCTTGAACAGTCGAGATCATTTGATTCTGAAAGAGCTTCTTTAATTCTACCAATAGGCCAAGAAAATTCTAACCCCATGTCCTTGAGGTGGAGTGTAAGGGTGTCGCTGGTCTCTGCTTAGAAAGACAAGATGTCACGGCCAAAGCTAACAAAAGATCTAGGCATTGATAGAACAACATACTGAATTTCTAATTTGTAAAACCCATTGTATTGCACTGTAGCAGATATAGAGAGTGCATATTATGGTGCAAAGCATGCCCTCCATTACATGCTTCATGCACCAATTCAAACACAGCGAGGTCAACCAGATTGGGAAAAGATTCCGTACTCACCCAGATGGCAAAACAAATTGAAAACAAGTTTCCTAGAGAGCACACCGAAATCCTCCCACCGAATCCAAAATTGCAGGTAAAAATCTTTCGCTTATTTGATGGGATTATTAAGAGGTTATCTATGGTTAAACAGTCCCTTGACCAGGTAGTCATTCTTGATCAGGTCACTGACCTTTATTTTCGTCCAATTTGGTCACTTGACCTATCGAGCACATCGACGAGTGTTTCACGCTCAAATATTCATCTTTAGAAACCTTTTTTTTGCCTCTCATATTCTCCATAGAAGACGTTCAAGATCCTCATCCACAGAAGATTCCTACGAATTGATTTTTAATCGCTACCACGAGAAGCTACGGCATTGAAAGCACATTGGAAAGTTGAGCGACTAAAATCAAGAAAAACTGAATAAATCGAGAATAAGTGCAAAACTGAGCACATCGAACTAAGGATTAAACACGCATCGAACTCAGCTCCACTTGACCCTACCAGAAATCGACATCTCCTTCCGAAAACCTCGCCATAGGCCAACGGAACTTTCCATTTCAGCGAGAGGACAACACCTGACGACACCGTCTCGAAGCGAAGAACTTCACACAAGTATCACCCTACTTCTACTGATCAGAAACTCGAAAAAGGATAGAAACCGCCGCTGCTTCCTCGCGTAAAGAGGAAGTTGCAGAAATCAAGCTCAGATCAAACGAAAGCGAAGCCGCGCGCGGGTGCGTAAGCAGTTTGGAGAACGTGCGGGGAACAGGGGGGGGGGAGGGAAATGTACGTACCGGAGGAGGAGGGCGACGGGACGCGGAGGGTGACGTAGGTGTAGAGATTGATGGACGCGGCCACGGCGACCGATCCGTGGACCACCGCGTGCTCGCCGGAGAGGATGATCTTCCCGGGGGCCCTCGCCGTCACCTCCATTTCTCCTCACCCCACCCCACCCCCACGCGCGCGATTCGCTCGGTCGCCGGCGGATGGATTGGCCTCCCCCGATCGCGAGCTCGGTTCCGCCGGGAGGCGATTCGAATCGATCGATCGATCGATGGATTCGATCCTCCTGTTGCTCGTGTTCCGCGCGAGCGAGAGGGAGAGAGACTGTTGTGAACGTGAGAGAATGTGGGAAAGCTGTGGCGGTATTATGGCGGAGAGAAACGAACACGAGGTCGAGGAGGTGGAGGCTATTGATGGGGGTACCTGCTTTTTGTCGCTTTTTGTTTGGTGCGGTGGCGATGGCACGCGCGCCCACGGGAGACGCGCGCGCGCGTGGGGGCGATGCGTTTCTTGAAATTTTTTTGTCCTTTTTTTTTGGGCCTTTTTTTTTAAGGAAAAAGGGAGTTTTTAGGAAAAATTATTTCGGATTTCGGAATAAATAACTAACTTTACTTAATTTGTTACGCTGCGCACTAGGGGGTGTGCAAAACGGATCGCCCAACCCGAGAACTGACCTAACCGGACAAGACCGGTCAGTTTGTTGCGGTTCCCGAGGGTGTCAGTTTGGTTCCCGGTTCCTAAAAGTGGAACCGAGGGAACCGGATCGAACCGAACCGACCGGATATACTCTTTTTTTATTTATTATTTCTTAAAAAAAATTAGTAAAATATGAACTAAACCCGGAGTGACTGGTTTCATGAGACCGAACCGGTGGTCGGGTCTAGTACCCAGTTCCCATTTTTTAAAACCGGGAACCAATTACCTCTACCATGAATCACCGTCACCTAACGCCACTTATCATTTTTTTCAGTTTGAATTATATTTCAAAATTGGTGCATTTTTTTAGAGCAGATATCACAAAAAAAAAACACCTTAAACTATACCTATCATAACACAAATACCCTAAACTTTTTTTTATCTTGCCAAAAACCCTAAACTTACCTACTGCGACACAAATACCCACCTTTTCTTTTGTCATGAAAGAACTTAAATTTATACACGTGTGACATATACCATCTATTTTAATTTCATTTCGGATATATTTGTTACATCGGTATATATTCGGGGTTTTTTATGGCAAAAAAAAGTTCTACGGTATTTGTGTCATAATGGGTAAATTTAGAGTTTTTTCTAATATAAAAAAAGCTCGAGATGTTTGTGTCACGGTAAGTATAGTTTTGGATTTTGTGGTATTAACTTCTTCTTTCTGATTGGCTTGTCATTTATGTTTGTGTTTCGATGCCACATTGTCACACATGCTCGTGTGCATGATATCATGTAGAGATGTACGGTAATTAAAGATTGGTTTGGTACACTTCTATTTATTAGCATGCTTTTGTCGATCGCTGAGCTCTTGTACTTTGTGCGTTGAAAAGTTATACCACTTACCTTATCAAAAAAAAAAATTGTTTTTGCTGTCAATTAAGGTTTCTTGACCGTTAGATATTTCCAAGCACGGCCACATCTAATGTAAGCCCTTTCAATGGACCCTTACATTGATTAAAATGGCAAACAGAATGGAGCAAGCAAGAGAGACAGAGGGGTAAGGTTTAGCGACCCTCGTGGTGGTCTGTCACGATTCCGCGATCCGATATCGATAAGGGTGTCCGCTCCCACCGTTGGCCTTAGGAGGGGCTGCACAAAAACCCCAATAAGACCACCTCCTGCCGACACGGGTGGCGGCCCTTGCCAAGGAGCGAGGGCATGCGTGACCCTCACCCGCGGTCGGCACAATTCCTTGCTAGGAGGTTTCACGACCTCAGTCGGACCTCATCCATCCATAAGAATCCAGATTCCGACCTTCCCTTTTAACATCCATCTTCCTCCCTGCACATAGTTATGCAAAATGGCTTGGGATAACTTGAGTCGTCGGATCTGCTCAAGACCTAACAATGTTCAATGAAGCCACGAATTCGAAGTTTTCCGAAGGGTAGGTCCCACATGGAAAACATCTACACATGCATATAGGAGAAAGCCAAAAATTTCATATACCTATTTCATTTGTGCCAATTCAGTACCAAACTTTTCAATTTGATCAATTTAGTTATAAACATTTTCACATTTTGCCAATTGAGTCTATTTAGCCTATTTTGGGCAGGATCGCTGACGTGGATGCCAGTGATCATATATGATATAGTTGATGCTAATGCTAACTTTTTGTTTTTCCTTTCATTTTGGTTTCATTTTGGTCAAAGAGGGCCATTGTGACCCTCGCCAGCCACTGGACGAGGGCTTGCTAGCCCTCGCCGGCCGCTGGGGAGGATCGTAGCCCAGCCAGCTATTGGTGAGGTGACCCTCACCAACAGCCGGTGACCCTGGGCGGCCACAAATGACAAGAGAAAAAATAAAAAATAAAAATAAAAATTCAATTTTGTTGTTAAAATTGTAAAAATTGTCTACGTTGGCTTCAATCGTGCCACATAGGACGGCTTTCGGCCACGTCAGCGATCTTTGATCAAAGCTGGTCGGATGGACTTAATTAATAAAAGATGAAAATATCTAGGACTAAATTAGCTCAATTGAAATATTTAGAACTGAATTTGCACGAATGTAATAATTTTATAATATTTTTTTGGGGTACTTTTCCCGATCATTGTACCGTGAACAAAGAAATGCTCCAGCCCATCAACAAGGACCTCAAGTCATTCCCTAGGCGCGTGAGCTGCAGCAAGTCAAATTGAACCACTGAAGGGAGTGGACCTGCCACCAAGTTCCCAAGTTCACGGCCGATGCTCAAAACGCCGAGTTCAAACTTGTCAGCCTCGAAAACGAATCGAACTTTGTTTATATCGTCACCAACGAGATCGCACCATCAAACTTTATACGGCTCACCTACCATCATCTTCGTTCATGTTCAACGTGCTCGAAACAAGGAGCCTTCTCTGGCTTCATCAAGATCATACCATGCCTTAAAAAGCATTCCGGTTCGGCTTCGGAGTTCGATTTTCTCGGTTCGATTGCAGATACACTGTTCAGCAGGCGAATGAGTCGCATTTGAGAAGTCGCTTTCGCTCGAGAGGGCGTAAAGTGAACCTACCGTATTAGCACGAAGTGATCTCTAACGAGCTAACATCGATTGGGCATGCCCCTATGCTAGGGGAGGAGCCGCGGAGCCAAAAAGTCTTCGGATGTGTGCGCATGCTTGGAATGACTTCTCTATAGTTTATGCTGTAATGTATGCGATGTTAGACCCTGATCAAAGTGCCGAAGAGAATAAATAGATGGAAAGTCCACTTGAAAGTCCAAACCCGACAGCTTCGAGGACTTCAAATGGCGTTGTTGACATTCGCACTTGAGCCCACCCCTTGCAATGTCACCCTTTAGCTGCACAGCCACGACAGGTATATTCACTTTTCGATTTGGATGCAATTAGAAACAGTACTTAAAACAAGACATCTTTCGCTCGGATTGATTTTAGGGGTCACGCCTTATCATCTTGTGGAAGCAATCTTACTTGAATTAGTCGAGTTGAAAGGTTCGGATGCCCATATCAAAAAAAAAGTAGAAAGAAATGCTATATAGACCCATGTTCTCCCATAAAATATCCATGGACCGTATTCTCTTTAAATAAAGTATGTCATGAGTTTCACTCTTTTTGAAGTGTGATTAGCTTGATTCATTATGGTACTTCACACAAACAGAAACTCAAAATTTGTGTATGATCTGGTGTTGTGAGTGCAAGTTTCTATGGAGGGCCTATATAGAGATGGGTGGTCCCAGACCATCTAACTTTTCAACTTAAATTCAGTACTGAACAAGGTTGAACAAGGAAAACGAGAATCTATAGCGATAACACAGTCCTTGTTCCTTACCAATATGAAGATTGCACAAGCACTTGGTTGCAAAATGCTCAAAGTGTCACAATGAGCACCCATATATCCTTACAGAATATAAACAAGTGGGCTTGTATGATATACAGAAATTTATTTTCTCAGCAACAGCCTTACGAAAATCACAGAGTCCGCACTACATTCAACGGCACGCAGCACAAGTACAAGGGGGCGCAATGGAGCAAGAACAGTGGGATATCGGCCTGTACAATAGGATAGCTTGAAGCATCTCAGGAAGATAATGAGACATGCATACGTCAAACTGATTTCTCTGCAATTTCAGCTTGTTCCTTGAGAGACTCGTACAGCGTCTCGACGAGGTCTAGCAGGAACTCATCAGCACCGTGTTTTGCCAGCAAGGATATTGAGATAGGCAAATTATCATGCAGCCCCATCGGAATGCTTACCTGTAAATGCAAATTGCAGACACTTAATCCTAGATTGCATAGAGGCATTGGATTAATTGAGACAGGAGTATGACAGCTTTAAGGTTGCGTAGTGAGAGAAGATTGCGCAACCTGACAGAATCCCGATACACCGGCAATGGAAAGCAAACGGAATGCCTTAGCACCATAAACTTCCAGAGAGGATACATCTGTTTGTAGCTTTGGCACAGGCCCAGGAACCGTGGGGATTGCAAGGACACCGAAATCCTGTACCAAAGGGAATAACACCTTCTTCTTTTACTATTCAAATTGCTCAAGAGAGATAAATGAGAACAGTATTCTTTGATAATTCCTCCAGTTCCTTGGTCAATTATGCACTTCTCTTGGGAAATTCATTAGATAAGATTAAAGATAGCAGGAAGCCAAGAACAGTGCTCTTGGATAATTATTACTTGGTCAATTATGCATTTCTTTTGGGAAATTCTTAACATAATGTTAAACATTGCAAGAAGCCAAGAACAGTGACAGAAGACAACTATGAACTCAAGGCATGCGAGATGATCAGAGAGGGACATACCCCGAGTAGGGAAGTAAGAGCAGCATGGAATTCTTTCTTCACTGACCAATAGACATCAATATTTTCTTCAGTTGTCTGGAGGGCGTCCCTGACATGATCTGATATTCCAGGGCCCAAATCGGGATTGACAGCAGAGATCCACTCCTTATGGTTATTCTTGAACTCATACCTACCATTCAAGGTTAATCAGAATTCTTCTCTAGATAGCGGTTCTCTTCATTATCCCACACAATGCACAAATGAAATAAAATCCAACGTGGGTTCAG